ACTTTGACTTTTTTTTCAGACAGGGATGTGATCTTGGAGAGCCCAGCCTTACCCGTGACGGAGGGAGGTAACATGCTCCCACAAGGAAAAACATCTTCGTACATCTACATCAGATTTTTCTGCCAGTTTCTTCAAGGATAATGTTTTCATCGGTACTGAGGCTGAAGGAAAGATGTTCCTGCCAGCGGTGTCCATGTCTGACGAAGGCTTCTACAAGTGTAAACACCCAACGAAAGGAGAATCCCTGCAGAGCTGGCTGGCAGTGAGAGGTGACTTGAAATTCTACTATTTGTACGTAAACTGCGTTTTAGGTCACTGAAAACGCTGCTCGCCAATAGTTTCTGAGATTGGCTCGGTGCAGTCCCTCGTTCAGCTTTTATCCATTTACCCACGTCTCAAACTTCAGTACATCCTTGAGGCTTAGTTTAGCTTCTGTGTGATGTTCTGATGGTGTTTTTTCTTCCTCACAGCTCGACCTGCTGATCCCCATCCTACTACTCATCCCCATCCTCCTCTCATATCTCTGCTCAAGCTGGTGTGCAGCATCCTGCTGTTCGTCCTCTACACCATCATACTCTCAGTGTGTATATACAAGTACCGACTGAGGGCTCGAGGTAACAACATACTGATACCTGTGTTGATATTTCTTTGTTGGCCTCCTGACTGTATAAAAGAAGTAGACATAGCCAACGTGATGTCACTCTTTGGTTGGTCAACAGTGAGCAATTTTCCACTGAGTATGGCCACCGCTGGCTCAAGACGTTCAAGATTCCTTTTTTTCACCAACATCATTTGTGAGGATGTTGATTAAACGTCCATGTTTAGACCAAACTGAACTTTGAAACCTGCTTCTGTCACAAGAGGGTTAGGGTCATCCCACATTCACACTCAATTTAAACTTAAATGACTGCTCAACACTGAAATTTTAACATAGGGCTCTATGGGGACTGACTCACTGCAGGAGACAGACTGTGGTGGACACTGGAGGAACTGCAGCTGTAAAGTTGGACGTTTTAACATGGGGCTCTATGGGGACTGATTCACTGCGGGAGACAGACTCTAGTGGTCACTGGAGGAACTGCAGCTGTAAAACCAGTGTTATTGTGATCACATCATACTTAATGAGAATTGAGATGAAAGTGTGATACTTTCAGAAATTCTGTTTAAGAGACGGAAAAAAACGGTCATTAGTGAGAAACTTGTTCCACGTTTATCATCTGACAAAAAACTCCCGAGCTGAGCAGACGTGCAACAAAGATCACTTTGGTGGTATAGACCTCAACACTGTGATACCACACAACACATAGGTAAAGAGCAAAAATGACAGGCCAGAAAATAAAGTGAGCTGGTCGTCACGGCAACAATATTCCCAGCAACAGTGGCAGAAAGCAGGAAGTGAAGCTGAAGAGTGTCGACCAACAAAACCTGCCTTTAACCAGAGATTTAACCCTTTAATTACTCTTTATGAAGACAGGTTCTTCTCTGTTTTTTTCTTCCCACAGCTCGAGCTGATTCAGCTTCTGATCGTTTCAGACTGGAATGAAGACGAAGAGCAACTCCGGCTGAAATCACCACAAACACCAAAATATTTTAAAATCTTTATTCATCTTTGTTTTCTTATAACCTACATGTCACTCTTGTTTCACCGTGTTAAAAAATAATTGAATATCAAACAGTCATGAGTCATGAGTATTTTTAGATTGTTTTAATGTAAGGAAACTCAAAGAATTCAGTCGTTAATATGTTTGCAAATTTGAGAGAAATCGTCGGCCATCTTTATCTTCAGTTCTTATTTCTTTGTGAATGAGAAGTGAGTCTAACATTGAGATCGCCCTGTGAGGATAAACTTGGAGAAACATTCACACAGACTTCCAATGAACCAATCAAACACGTTGCATAACTTTCTTTCGCCACCTATTGGGCATTTGGTCTCAAGCATTTGGACAAAGATGACTTGACTCAGATTCTTTCATCACTGTTTTTAGTGTCTTTAGATCTGTATGGGATTTTTTTTAAGAGTTTTTCAGCATTTGAAGCCTTAATAGAGTTCACCCAGGTGTACTTTCTATTTTTCTTTTTAATAGATTTCAACAGTTAAACATGTCACTTTTTATTAATAATATTTTACACTTGAAGCTTTCTTCACAATGTCAGTGTTCGGACACTAGGTGTCAGCGTTGACTTGTCCAAAGAGCTCCAAGCTCTTGAACTATCGTCTATCCCTTCTGTGTTCATGTGTGAATTTCCCTATGTCTACCTGCTGTGTGTTCTGTGTGTTCATGTGTGAATTTCCCTATGTCTACCTGCTGTGTGTTTTCTCTCGTTTGCCGGTTGTTGGACTTTTGATGGACATTTTTGTTGAACTGTCCATAAAGTAAGCTTTTAATGTTTTCCCTTTTAGTCTTTAGTTAAAATGAGTCATTTTTGTTTTCCACATATTTTCCTTCTCTCTGTACAAATGACACAACGTGACAGTCTTTCAGCTGTTGTCAGACAGGGAACTACGTAACTTGGCCAATCAGTTCTTTGCTCTTACCTGAACACATTAGCATGCTAATGTTTATGCTGAACAGGGGGCCACTTGAGGAAAACTCAGAGGATAGCAAAGTCAGAGATAATAAATACCCGTACCACATTTTATGTAAAATCCATAATTGTTGACATTTTTATTTTAGTCTGGGCTAAACCGTCATTCAAAACAAACCATGTGTCTGAATATATGTCGTCTCAAATAAAACATTATGATCCCGACATTTGACAACTTCTGCCTCTTCCTCTGTTTTAAACGACGACTTGCAACTTCCCAAAGCTATGGCCAACTACTACTCTTATTTCAACGAATGTGAAGCTGCTTTATCTGTTCTTACTATCAGTGGACTTTTGGACAGACGTGTACCTCTGTGGATAATTCTGCTTTACAAAATAATCTAAACCTCAAATTTTAAACACGCAGAGCTCTTACAAACAAGCTAAGCTAGCAACAAGTTATCTGCCAATACATCAAAGAATACTGAGTTTTTTATTAATCTGTTAGTTCTGGCTAACATTACATCTCTGCACTAGTTGAGTTTGCTGTCCTCATAAAGTAAAGGTACATAAAAAATCCTCTTCTTCCTTGTTTAAAGTTCAGGGAACCTTACAAGGAAGTCTTTACAAGGATGCTGCTGTGTTCTTACTGGTGATGACGCCAGAGATACAAATGAGGGGGAAAGAGTTAATTTTCTGTTCTGAACTTTACTCTAAAAACTCTTAAACCTGCATCAGAGCGGACGAACAAACTGCCACGCAGATGTTTCTATATGTTTTTGATTTTGAACCGTAACGTGTCCAAAACCTGAAGTAGGTGTGCTCTGAACTGATTTCGGCGTTTTGTCGAGACATGTATGTTTGGTTGGAAATGTTTCAAAGTGGACATCTGAAATCACAGCTTTTGTTCTCCTCTTTAATGAAACATGAGTGGGGATCTTTTTTTCTACCACATGTGTAAAATGTGTTTCTTCACCTGACCTCACTGTTTGTTGATTCTCTTTGTGAACAGTTTTCAGAGCATGTCGGGGCTGAATGTGGTCGATGTTTGACCTTGATCTGGGTCTTGTTAAATATGAGAGTAAAGGTCGTTGGGGTTTACATGTTTCCTCTCAGCCTGCATGTGCGGGGTTTCCTGTGCTCTCCCCGGAGTTTCAGGGTGAAATGTTGCTTCAAGTTTGGCAAATTAAAACATGCAGGGGGGCGCCGGTGGTCGGTGCCCGTGCTGCATGTGCATGTGTGGAGGCTTAACCCCCTTTTCAACCAAGTGGTCTGGTTTGGTTCAGTACAGTTTGGTACAGTAAACCCTGATCTTGAGTTTCAACAGCCAACGTTGCATCAACTACGTGTTAGCGTGACATCATAGCAGCACGGCACAGCGTAGCCCGCCAATAAGTTCAACAAAGAAGAAGAATGGGACACAGTAAACAAAAGGGCAACAATGGAGGACGTCCAGCAGAGGTCAGCACCTCAAACAGGAAGTGGTGATTCTTTCAACAAATCAACAGACTGCAGTGTGTCTAGCGCCACCCTTTACGGATCAGTTACCCTTTCCAACGTTTGACAGGAAACGCCAATAAATGTCCTGTCTCTAAAGTAAGAGCAAAAAGCCAAAGAAACAATTCTTTATAAAAACATGCAGTAGATAGAAAGGACAGCTGCATCACTACAAGACAATAAATTAATGGTCATCAACATTTCCTGAAGTATTATTCATCCAGTCATGAACAAGTCGAGTCATCCTTGCTGTTTTTCACAAGTTTTTTGTGTCTAAATGTTTTTGTGCTCCATTCATTCTTTGCTCTTTGTGAAATGTATTCGCAATCTATCAAATATCTTTAGTTTTTGCATCCTGTGAGATATTAAAGTGTTTTATGACTTATTTTAGAATTTTGTTTCATGTTTTTGTATTTTGTTTCATGTTTTTGTAGACCTTCAGGGCCACCGTAGAAAGCCTATGTATGTGGAAAATGTATTAATAGATGAATAATAAAAAGAGTCATTGAAAGAAAAAAAAAGTCATTACAATAAAACCATTTGTATTTGAATATTGTTTTTTAATCTATGTTTAAATCAATGAGTAGGCCTAACTGGAGGGAAGCGGATAAATGATTGTGTTTATGATCTCATTTAATCTATCTGATGAATTAAATAAACTACAATCTATTCGCATGACACCAAAATAAACTACAACTGTACGTTTTACCGGAAATGTTTACGTTTCTACTGTCACCACGGTCTGGAAATACAGAAACGACCAGAACTATCTCAATTTACTTTCCAAAAGAAGACAATGCACTGCGCTTTGTACGTCATATAACGTGTTGACGTCACTGAATGCCCCGCCCAGTTTGTGAACACTCAAGTAGAACCTGTAGACAGAAACATGTCACACACTCGCCCAGCAGCGGAGAGCTCCGACAGCACTGTAACGACGGTAACCGACGGTATCTGTGTTTTAACCGGGTACTCTTATGATTTTCTTCGGAGGCTCCGGTCTGACCTTCCCTCTCTGGACTCTGAGTGCTCCTTTCAGTCTGTTACTGTGGACGCTTGTCGAAGGTAAGCTCCTCTCTGTCTCCGTACCGGTGTAAAGTGTTGTGGTTGTCATGGTTACAAGAGCCGATAGAATTTAAGAAAAGATGAAAGTAATCCCGCGCGGACGCCTCTTTGTTTAACTCTTCGTTATAATGTCGAAATGTAGTACTCATTAGATATGTTTTTTATATAAAACTAAAATAATTAGATTAGTTTTCAACAGTTTTTTGTAACCACGTCAACCAGAGACGTTATTCGGCTGAGAGTCACCAAGTTACACGGTCTCTCTTTTAACCGTAACACCTGTTAGCTTTCATTCATCTACATTGTAGTGTCGGGGGGGGGGGGGCAGCCAACGGTTCCATTAAAAGTTTTCCATCAGTTTCATCCTTGAATGAAGCCAATAACACGAGGAAATGAACGCTCAATGCTGTCATGCTAACTGGAAGACAGCTGGCTGATTGTTTAATGGTCTTTCCTATCAGGAAGTTGTTTTCTTTGTTGGACGTGTCCCAAAAGTAGAATAATAACAAGAAACCGCCTTCTGTTATCACGCTATGCAGACTGTAGGCTGCACCAACTGATACTGAACCAGTTGGTCATCATGTTTGTCTTTTATTACATTGCCAACTCTGAAGTTAGTGTCAGACTGGTTTTGATATCAGAGGTCGCCTCCTTTCCAAAACCATTGGACCCGTTGATGGAGCCTCTCCAACACCTTTTAAATGTGGCTTTGGGGGGGAAACAAGCTGAACTGCCCTAAGGTCCAAATAGAGTTCAATAAAAATGGTTAAAAACAACATAAATTTGACTTTAAACGCAATGAAAGTAGTCGAGTGAAGGGTTTGAGAGGAACAAAAAATTTGACAATATTGTCTTTCCTGACCTGTGTGATGCAGTTATCCAATCACTGGGGCTAAATATTAAAATGATTCTTTAAATCGGAGCTCCTATTAGATTTAAAGACCTACCATGTGCTTAATGCCACCTGCTGTACCGTTTGGACGTCATCTCTTTGTCAGAAGGTTAACATTTCCCTCTGATTTATTTCCAGGTCAGTACCGTGTGAGCTCTTCTTCTCAGCCAATCACGGCTTCCCCTGGTGACGATGTCATCCTGCGGTGTCATGTGAAACCTGAATATAACATCCGGGCGCTGACCATAGAGTGGTCCAGGTCGGGCACCTTGGATCGGCCGTGGGAGGTGGAGGGGGAGGAGGAGGACTATGTCCACCTGTACAGGAACCAGAAGGACAACGAGGACGGCAAGATCCGGGCGTACATCAACAGGACCGACCTGTTGAAGGACTCGCTGCGACACGGGAACGTTTCACTGAAGATAAAGAATGTGACGGTGGACGATCAGGGAACTTACCGATGTTTCATCCCCAAACTGAGCAGCAGAGTGTGGAGAGGGAGAGAGGCGTTTGTTACGCTCAAAGTTCTCGGTGAGTTTGCTTTGATGTTTGTAGACTAAGGCGTGGTTATAGACTAGGGGCGGCCATTTTTACTTAATGCTGATTTAACCATGTCAGAAAAATGACAAAGTGGAAGCCCGCTAAGAAATCCCTCTAGTTGGTCATTACTTTCCTGTTTGGACTTGGATTGGTTTTCCTCGATCTTAACAATCTTTTTTTATTTTTTTTCAGAGCCAAACGTTGGAAGGACAACAGAGTCATCGCTGGACCTGACGACTCCAGAACCAATCGATCAGATCAATGTCCAAAGTGAGAAAATGTTTAATTCTCTGAGGAAAAAAATGTTCTGATCCTGCTCATGTTTTCTACAAGTCTCTCTAACTTTTTCTCTCCGTTTGCTTTTTTTTCCCACATCAGGTGACCGACACCGTCACTTCCTCTGGATCTCTGTTGTGACTGTCTGCTTCATAGCAATCCTGGGAGGTGTAGTCTTAACTTTACTCAAACTAAAGTGTGGAGAACAAAATGTAAAACAGACAGAGGAAAAAAGCATCCTTCAAAGAAAAGCACTTTCAGAGCTTCTCTTAGGTCGCCCTCGTCCGTTCAGAGATTCAACCCAACAGGATCATCAGGAAACTCTGTATGATGGAGACAGACCTCCATCAGAGAAAATGGTAAGTCTACTGCTGAATGTGTTCCTGCTTTGTATGTCAGATGTCAGGCCGTAGTTTGAATTGGAAATTATGGAGCTTTTTTATTTCTTTGTGTGTCTTCAGCTGTAGAAGTTTCAGGAGTTAAAATCCTGCTTGAAAAGGATCTGAAAGCACTAAAGATAACACAACAAACACAGATGTGGAGAGGGGGGTTTCACATTTTAGTCTGCTGTTGTAAAGTAATGGAGGAAGATCGTCTCTGAAAAAAGGACAAAATGCATCGTTTCTAGCTTTATGTGAAACAGCAGTTTACTGTGAGTGAAGTCATCAGAGGGTCGTTAAGACCAGGAGCACGATGTAGACCCTAAAGTTATCGTGTTGTTAGAGAAACACTAACGCTGGTCCAAAGACAAAAGCAAAGAAAGACGTTTTCACTCCTGAAAATATCTCGATGGTTTCAGGAGGACTGCGGGATAATTTACATTTTGACCAAACGTTAATAAAGCAAGTGCAGACAGAACTAATATGGGAGGTCTGTTGTTACAGTACAGATACAACCTGCCTCCCGTACTACCTAAAGGACCCACAAGCCTTTATTCTCAAAGTCTCCAGAGGTAGCACAAAGGAGTTTTTTTTAAGATTAAAAAAACATGCTTAAGTTACTTTTTCTTTTTCTTTTTGAAGCAGCAAACTTATTATTTCTGCTCTGTTCTTCTTAACAGCTCTCCTGGAGATCCTTCAGTCGGCCGAGTCGAACCCTTGCAGAGTCCGGATAAAGACGACTTTGAAGGAACAGATTTTCCATCTGAACACATTTTTTTTTTTTTTTAGACTTTAAAAAAAGAGGGACCGCTCCAGACCTCTAAATCCTTTCCAAGATTCTGAGGATCTTATCGGCTGCAGGATTATCTCTCTGTGTCTCAGGAGAACCTTTATTTATTTAGCGTAGGAGAAAGAACTTCACAGTTTACACCTCGTCAATCGATCCTCAACAAGAGACGACGACGACGACGACGACGACGACGACGACGACGACGACGACGACGACGACGACTTCACCCGACCTCAAAAGGACCCAGAATGGATTTCATTTTTTATGTTATTTATCCAAATCTTTATTTTCTGGTCTGCTCAGATTCATCTTCTTCAACAGAGGAGCTATGTGCCATATGTTGTGTTCCTAAATGATGTCTCCATAAGCTTTGGAAATTTCTGTTAAAGATAAAATGAACGTTGTTGGAAAACTCTCAAGTGACCATAAAACCAAACGGCAGCTGTTTAATAGCGTGATTTATTCTGGGCCTTTTCCAGTTGTTGCACTGAAACACTGATATTGAATTATAAGCTCAGCCGTTAAACAAACATGATGTTTAGTTACAGTTTATCTGTGTTAGCTATGTTAGCGTGTTATGCTAATGTTACGCCACTTGTTTACGTTCCACGCTCGACAAAAAGTTCAATCAGTGGATTAAAAGAAACGTATTTTCCAAATGTTCCGACAGTTTAACAGTTGAATGTGTTTCATTAGTCAACGTGTCAGATCCTCAGGTCTTATACTGAAGATTTATATGAGGGGGCGTGGCCTGATTCAGGGCACTACGTCTGTTTATATTTAAACTTCCACCGCATGAAGCTGTGGCTTCGCTCTGAATGTCTGTCATTTATTATTTATGCATGTTGCCTCATTAAAGCTGCTGTTTCTGAATAAATAGATGTTCTAAATAAATGCTGAGCTGTGACTTTATTCTTCACGCTTGCTCTTTGAGTTCATCAGCTCAATCTATCCATCAATTATCCATCCATACTTTTTCCTCTACTTACCTGAGGTCGGGTCACGGTGGCCGCAGGCTTATCATGTTGCCCCAGAACTCATTTCCCTCGTGTTCCTTTCAAACTGAAGGTTTCTTTTTGTTTGTTATTCGACCGGCACTGAGTGAGATCATGTTCTGACCATTTGCTAAATGTCCTGTGGCTCCCTCTAGTGTTGAAAAGAGAGTACTAAAAATGTAAAGCAGTGGTTCCCACACCAGGACTCTTGGTATTAGAGTCTTTAAACCGACACTGACCATAATAAGTCTAACATATTAAAAAAAAAAAAATTCTGTCCTGCAAATGTTCACTTCACTATTTTCTTCATTTCTCACAAGTCCCTTTGGAAGTTTTGTACATTTATATTATTCTAAAACTATATAAAAAATATAAATATTTCAATCCAATCCACTTTATTAATAAAGCACTTTGTAAAAAACACATTTCAGTTTACCACACAAAGCAGAAATACTTATAATAAACACAACAGCAAAGAAAACATCAAAGCAAGAATATAAAAACACACGAACTTTAACTTGTAAAAAAATATATACCCCTGTACAGTTTCTGATTCACTGCAGGAGACAGACTCTAGTGGACACTGGAGAAACTGCAGCTGTAAAGTTGAACATTTTAACATGGGGCTCTGTGGGGACTGACTCACTGCAGGAGACAGACTCTAGTGGACACTGGAGAAACTGCAGCTGTAAAGTTGAACATTTTAACATGGGGCTCTGTGGGGACTGACTCACTGCAGGAGACAGACTCTAGTGGACACTGGAGGAACTGTAGTTTGTTTATTTATTATGTACTTTCAAGCCAAATGCTGGTTGACCATTGTGAGAAAACAAGTCCGACGCACATTTATTAAGCATAGCACAGTTGTTACACATGAACTAAAAGTTTGTTCTGGATATTGTTTAACTTGTTTATAATAATTTATAGTTCTTAAAGCCTCCATTGTCACTCATAGAGCTGATTTTCTATCACAGCAAGAAAAGTCTTTGGGTAAATGTTCTTAGACACTTAAACACTAAAAGATTTGAATTTCTGTTGCATTAAAGATAAAAACAGAGCGCCAGTGATTACAGTGTTCATGATCAACATCTGTTGGTAATAAGATTCAGTACAGAAGCAAAAGAATCCTCTTCTTCATCAATTAAACTGAATGGAGGCGAGCCTTTCTGCACTTGAGAAAGCATCTCTGCACTCACTCGTCACCAGTGGAGACCTTCGGGCCTCAGAGTCAGCTGAAACTTTGCTACAACTTTGAACTCCACCCAAGGTCCTGATTTCTTCTCTGAAGTCTTTCAACTACATCTCTGAAATCGTAATTTTCACTCTCCCAAAGTTCCACTTGTTGACGAAGACGAGTGATTTCACTCTCCTGAAGTTCCACTTGTTGACGAAGACGAGTGATTTCACTCTCCTGAAGTTCCACTTGTTGACGAAGACGAGTGATTTCACTCTCCTGAAGTTCCACTTGTTGACCAAGACGAGTGATTTCACTCTCCTGAAGTTCCACTTGTTGACGAAGACGAGTGATTTCACTCTCCTGAAGTTCCACTTGTTGACGAAGACGAGTGATTTCACTCTCCTGAAGTTCCACTTGTTGAAAACGAGTGATTTCACTCTGTTGACTCTCCCTGAGTGGCATACCAGCTCCGTCAGTCACATCTGTGAAAGCAAAAACGTTCATATCTTTACTTTATAAGATGTGAGGCATCACTTAGAGTAACTTCAATACTTCCCAAAAAGAATATCTACTATCAGTCAACCATAGATCGCTCTTTTAGGCTTCATTTCTGTTGCAAACCAAACATAAACCTTGATGACCACCACGGATATCACCCTGTCATTTCAGATGACGATCCAGTGTGGGTGGTGTGGTTGTTTGCAAACTCTGCAAGAACAAAAGTTCAGCCACAAGGCGGCGTCCTCTCAAGGTCATCCTGCGTCTGGGCCGTGTGGGGTCAAGACTACGTAAGTAAGGTAAGAATTCACCTTCACCCTAATCTCTCGTCTTCTTCTGTGAATACACTTCAAGTACGTCATCTTTAAACGTCTGAAGGTTCAATTTACAAGTATAGCAATACCCCTCTGGGAAACACTTCTACTACAGTAGCAACGAGGAAAATATGAATTACCTGTTCTCCGACCCCTTTTCCTCCAAGCTGGTGATGAAAAGAAATGCAGTATGAATGAATGACTCAATGACAACTTTAAAACAAATGTGGTGACATTTATCATATTCAGAAGCTTAATAACTTACCCCAATAAACAAATGCAACAAGGAGCAGCACGACCACTACTGATGACACCGCAACAATATTAGTCAAATGTATTTCCAGGGAAACATATTCCTCGTAGATTTCTGAAAAAGCAAAACTGGTTAGAGGATGGAAATACAAAATCACTTGTCAATACAATTGCAAGAAGACTTTTAACTTAAAGGGATACTTCACCTGTTGAAACATGAATCTGTATTGACATTGGGTCATGTATGTAGAAATGTGAAATACATTCTGAAGTTGGTGCCTTCTTGGCCGAGAAAAGGCAGAAAGTGTCTTTTTGGCTCATGTGGATGAAAGACACCAAATCCCAGAATGCATAGAACCGCAGGCCATGCCCACTAAGGTCAGGTTTACAGACATATTTACTTCAACACATAAGGCCATTTCCTCAACTGATAAAGAGATTTTTTCGGCGGCGTCCAGCAACATAGCAATATAGCCGCGAGACGGCTACATGGTATGGATGGAAACGGTTTTGTTTCTTGGCTGCATTTGAACAGTGTATAAGCAAATGACAAGAAGAATGACTCTTTGAAAGAAAACATCTGAGAGAACATCTGCATCAAACTACAACATGGAAGAAGGAGTTGTCTGCTGAACTGGTTTGCAGGCGTCGAGACAGAGAGAGCTTTTCAAACATTTCAGGGTGAAATGATGTGAGGAGTGAAAAATGTGGGCTGAGGTGAAAAGTGTTTGGAAGACGTTTGAAATATGTATAAAATCAAAATATCTACAATCTCACAATGACATCACAACCTGAACATTTAATCAGAAATTTAACTCAACTGGGATTTCATGAAAACTTAAGAACAATAAAGAACCAAGTTCTGAGACGGTTCAAACTCCTTAATGAGGAGTCGGTCCTGATCCAGACTCTGGTTTTTAATAAACTCCTGAGATCTACTGAGTCAACTTACCGATCACATTAAGACAGATTCTACCAGCGACCACATCAGACTTTAACCTCCATTTACACTCGTATAGCCCCGAGTCTTCAGTCCTCAACGAGGACATGTGAAGTCTGAGTCGTCCTTCTTTGAGGACGTCTTTGTCCCAGTGGACTCGTCCTGCAAACTGTTCATCCTGAGACTCTGAGTCACAGACTTCATGATCAGTGACCATCAAACAGTAGACAAAAAGAGAGTGAAGTGAAGGGTCATCTCTCTTTTTGTATAAACATTTTGTATAAACAATGGCTCCCTCTAGTGGCTAAATGTGAAATGAAAAGCATGATCTCTCTCTCTCTCTCTCTCTCTCTCTCTCTCTCTCTCTCTCTCTCTCTCTCTCTCTCTCTCTCTCTCTCTCTCTCTCTCTCTCCCTCTCTCTCTCTCTCTCTCTCTCACCACAGACACAGCAGGTCAGCATGAGGAGCAGCAGGATCCTGTACATCATCTTCTTCCTGTGAGAGGACACAAACAAAGTTCAGTCCGCCCCTACAGGCTGTCTGCGGTCATTACAACATGTACAGAACTCAGCCCTGTGACGTAGACAGTGTTGCCAAAAAGAGTGGTGTCAAGAGTTCCCACATTCAAGAGGGAACTGTAAAGAAAATGACTGATGATGTTTTGCTTCAGTGAGATTATATCTCACCCAAAGTCTTGTTGTTTTTTTGCAATTGAAGAAGTTTTGTTTGATTTTTTTTGGCACAGATGATTCCATATATGAGTACATTAACATATATCCTAGATGTATAACATGCGACAACCTAATGCATGCTTTCATTATAAATATTATAAACATCACAGTACCCGGTTAAAACACACTTACTGTCGGTTACAGTCTGTGCTGTCTGCTGCTCGCCATTGGTGGCATGTTCTACTAACTCATGTAACTCATTAGGATCCTGGTTTGTAACCCTTGTTTGTAACCTCATCAAATGCTCCGCCCACCTTGTGTAGACAAAAGTCACACAAGGTGTAAAATGACAGCCAATGGAGAGGGCCGCCTCAGTTGTAAGCGATCATTTGTGTATTTTCAGGATTTACAGCTGAAAAAGTTCACTGCCGTTAATAAATAAGTAAACATTTTGAAATTGGTCTACATATTTGCAGATTAGTTTACACATTTGTGGATCTGTGTACACATGTTCAAATAGTTTTGCCACAATAACAGCTCCATACCAACAGTTCGGTTCTGACGAGTCGGTTCTGTGTGAGGACAGAAGAGAGGAGGGGCCTTCCTCATGATGTGTAAGACTGAAAGGGAAAGTAAACGTTGTTCTCATGTCCTTTTTACATTTGAGGGTTTAAAAAAGAAAACGAGGAATGGTTTAGTGTGAAAGCTGACTGCTCGTGTTTGTGAGGCTCTCTGGGAGATGATGACAATAGACTGTAAATATTAAGAATACAACGAGCACAACTGGATAACATTAACGATATTATATGGACCTATATCTTCACAATGTAGCTCGAAAAACCAGAACAGTTTTGTGTTTAGAATAAAAATGAGTCTGATGTCTCCTCTGCAGTTTCTTCACTCTAATGCCGGGAGACACCCAGTGGCCGTGGAAGGAACTGCTTTGTGTCGTGTGAAAATCAAACACCAGAGGCTCAGAGAAAGATGTGACATGTTTATTTATTTACTGACACAAATCACAAAGAATCAGAGAAATCATCCAGCAGTAATATGACATCATCATGTCCACACATTCGATTTGACGCCATCGCACACCGCTCACTGAGCTGCAGAAGAAAACCATCTCATTATTCTGATTGTTTCTTCATCACAGCATCTTTTTATTTTTAAAGGAGATTTTCAAAATAAAAGACTTCAGTACAGACACACTGATATTTAAGAGATTCTGATGACCGCTGGTGGGTTTTCTTCTGCTTAGTGTCTTATTTATATTTTATTGGTGCAGTAGTAGTTCAGTCTGTAGGGAACCAGAGGGTCGCCGGTTCAAGTCCCGGTCCTCACTGCATGTCCACAGGATCCTGTTAGTGTGTGTAACATGTTCAACAACAGAGTGTAACATTTTATTTCCCCTCGTGGGATGAAACATAGATCTTCTTTCAGACACTTCACTGCCTGAAAGAAGGAAGAGAAAAACTACTTGTTCATGTGTTTTATCTCTATTTCTTCAACTCATCTTAAAGGTAAAGAGGGAAGGGAGGAGGGAAGGAGGGATGAAGGTAAGGGAGGAGGGAAGGAGGGATGAAGGTAAGGGAGGAGGGATGAAGTTAAGGGTGGAGGGATGAAGGTAAGGGAGGAGGGATGAAGTTAAGGGTGGAGGGATGAAGTTAAGGGTGGAGGTAAGGAGGGATGAAGGTAAGGGAGGAGTGAAGGAGAGATGAAGTTAAGGGAGGAGTGAAGGAGGGATGAAGGTAAGGGAGGAGGGAAGGAGGGATGAAGGTAAGGGAGGAGGGATCGTCCATTCTTCTTCTCTTCTTGGCGCTGATTCTAAAAAGCTTTGAACAGCGTCTCTTCATCTTCTAGCTTTTCTCCTTCTCCGTCGACATCCTCCCATCGTGCCACGCCTCTCTGGTGTTCCTCAGGGCCTTCGTCCTTTTGGGGTCCACCACCACGTAGTCCACGCGCGTACGCTGCCCAAGTGGACGCTCCTCGCCTGATCCAGGCTGCTCGCCGTCGCCGGTTTCACCTTCTGCCGTGCTGCGTTTCTGGTAAAAGTAATTTGATGGTTAGAAAGTTGAAGTCATGTTTGTACGATTCAGCTGATGAAGCAACATTTTGTATAAACGATGAAACCAGGGTCATAGTGTCAGACGTCAACATGATGTGTTCATCTGGCTCCCTCTAGTGGCCAAATGTTAAATGACAAGCATGATAAAAGTGTTTTATTGAACATGAATTAAGAAATGGTGAAAAGGTAAATCGTGTGTTTGAAACCTCGGTCCTTCACCGCATGTCACCCTCGACTCCTCATCAGATGGGTGGCTAGGAGTGGCATGGGCCCCCCACTTGAAATCTGATTGGCCACCCTAAAATCCAAATCGATGATTGGCAGTTTGTCTGATCAGAGGCGGGACTTAAGTACAAATCAGCTGTGGTACCTTCAGTTTAATACTCCAAAGAAAAAAATGTGTCCACACTCTCTAACTTACAAAGGACTTAATTGACAATACATTTATTTTTGCAAGTTTGCAATGAACTTGATCTGGCATCTCTGGGAGGCAGGTTCCCTCGCCCGGCCACATGGGTTTTCATAACTCGCCCCTGACTCCCCTCGCTCCCCTCACCCCGCCGCCGCAAGAAATGCAATTTTCTAAGGACTTCAAATCGCAACTTTGGTAAGGGATGAGGAAAGGAGGGATGAAGGTAAGGATGAAGGGATGAAGGTAAGGGAGGAGGGATGAAGGTCAGGTTGGAGGGAAGGAGGGATGAAGGTCAGGTTGGAGGGAAGGAGGGATGAAGGTCAGGTTGGAGGGAAGGAGGGATGAAGGTTAGGGTGGAGGAAAGGAGGGATGAAGGTAAGGGTGAATGGAAGGAGGGATGAAGGTAAGGGAGGAGGGATGAAGGTCAGGTTGGAGGGAAAGAGGGATGAAGGTTAGGGTGGAGGGAAGGAGGGATGAAGGTTAGGGTGGAGGGAAGGAGGGATGAAGGTAAGGGTGGAGGGAAGGAGGGATAAAGGTTAGGGTGGAGGAAAGGAGGGATGCAGGTAAGGATGGAGGGACAAAGGTCAGGATGGAGGGAAGGAGGGATGAAGGTAAGGATGGAGGGAAGGAGGGAAGAAGGTAAGGGTAGAGGAAAGGAGGGATGAAGGTAAGGATGGAGGGATGAAGGTAAGGGAGGAGGGAAGGTGGGATGAAGGTAAAGGTGGAAGAAAGGAGGGATGAAGGTAAGGGAGGAGGGAAGGAGGGATGAAGGTAAAGGTGGAAGAAAGGAGGGATGAAGGTCAGGTTGGAGGGAAGGAGGGATGAAGGTAAGGATGGAGGGATGAAGGTAAGGGAGGAGGGAAGGAGGGATGAAGGTAAGGGTGGAGGGAAGGAGGGAAGGATGGAGGGATGAAGGTAGGTCGTGTTACCTGTCTGGTTGATGTCGATCGCCCCGTGTGGAGGTCCAGGTCCAGGTACTCCACCTGTTTGTTGCCTCTGGCTCGCCATAGCAACGGGCTGCTGGCTCCTCCCTCTGACACCCGGTGCAGCATGAGCCTCAGAGACTACACACGAGAGAAAATACAATGAGGCGGGGGAAAGACATCGAGACGGTACGGAAATCCACAGACGATGATGATGATGATGATGAAGGGAGAGTTCTTTTTACCGGCTCCCCGGTGCTGAAGCTGAGGCCGGAGGACGTCGTCATGGCAACGTAGCTGTCGTCCGGGTCGTCAGAGTCGGAGGAGGGGGAGGAGCTTTGAGCGGAGTTTGGTCTGACTGACTGCCGAGTGGATGGACTGATACACACACACACACACACACACACACACACACACACACACACACACACACACACACACACACACACACACACACAATCAATTCATGGTTTGTTTTCAATGCTATAAATGTCAATTCCTCATCAGAGACATTCTTTATTTATTCCATTTGATATTATCCACCATTGTCTTTACAATCAGGGGATATTAACATGAAATGAACGTTTGTTTTTTTCCCCTTTTGAGTCCAAACTTCTCGTATTTAATCAGTTCGTTTAAAGATGTCACTTTTTCATTCTGCGTTTATCTCTTAGTTTTTGTTCGTCTTCTTCCTTGTTCTGACTTTTTCATCTTCAACCTTATCGTCTCCACTCTGACTTTGATTGCAGCCTGCAGTGTTCCTGCAGCACCACCGGGGGGCAGCAGAGTGCAGCTCAGCTCATCTGTTCACACGTCAGGCCTCTCTCCCTCTCAGTGTGTGCTGACATTAAATATTGAACGTGTCAGGTGCTTTTCTGTTGACGCAGCAAATTAAACATCGAGGCCACTTCTCCTTAAACACACATAAACACACATAAACACACATAAACACACACACACACTTACTCTCGTGTGAAGGTGCGAGTGACAGGCGAGCGGACAGGGGGCGGGACTTCCTGCCAGTCTTGCTGCACTGCAGAGAAGTCCAGAGGAGCAGGTTTCACTGCGAATAAGAGACAGAGAGGGGGGAGGGGGGGGGGCTTTTTAAAATAACATTTATGAAGTAAAACGAACAAAAAGATATCATTGAGGGCGTTTATGTTTGGAAATCAAAAATCTCTGTAAACAAAGCAGCAGTTATTCAAGCCAAACAGCCTCCTTACTTTATGAATATTTGAGTGTTTCTATACGCTCCGGCTCTATACATGGAGTGTGTGTGTTGGAGTGTGTGTGTGGCTGTCATGACTCGGTGCTGCAGCCTTGTTGAGCAAAGTGGAAGCAGGTAAATAATTAAAACTGGAATCAGGCCAAAGGGACGAGGGATGACGAACAGTGAGAGACGCAATGTAGAGGAGAAAGTGAGAGAAGCACCCGGGGCAACGGGGGGGGTTAAGAAACAATTGACTCTTTCAGGTAGTGTTGTAGTCAAGAGGACGCTAACCGGGACCAAGACAAACCCGAGACAAAAGGCCGGGCAGTTTGTGTTTGTACCTCTTGTCTTGGTTTTTGGCTCTCCAGCGGTCTGACTGTCTGACCTCTCTGCAGGCTGACCGACAGAAACTCCTGCAAAGACACAAAATATGAGACGTCAGAAAACATCCACCAGGAACAAATCCACAACTACCTATCCGCCTGGCTCCTGCTCCTCCTCACCTCTGTGTTGTGGTTTCAGGTTGCGGTGAATCGGAGGAGGCACGGCTTTGACCTCCACTCCGCCCGCGGTGTTTATGGTGTTCCTCCGGAGCGGCGGGGTGAGGGGAGCGAGGGGCGAGTTGCGAAAACCCATGTGAATGGGCGGGGGGACCTGCCTCCCCAGAGACGCCGGGTCACCTACGGCAGGTGTGGGATGAACGGGGAGGGAGGGCGTGACGGGGGTCATGGGGACGTAGTTTGTGTCCTGGAGCTGGTGGGAGGAGTCAGAGAGGTGAGGAGGAAGCATCCTGAAAGAAGAGAAGAAGAAGAATGCAATGAAATTCAAAATGCAATGAAATTAAGACTTCGTATTTCTCATTCATCCCTCTCTCGCACGCTCACTGTCATTGACCAATCAGGTGTCTCATCAGCTGGCCTCATCTAACCAATAGCATGACTTCTCTCCCTCATTGTCAGCCTATCATTGTTCTCTCTTTAAATATGATCCTGACATTTCCAAGATATCTGTTGCAGATATAGTGGCGCATTATTTTAAAAGGACAACACAAAATGATGCTTCTCAACACCCCTGAGTCATGAAAAATTTATATTTTGCTTCTCTTACTGATTTACAGTCTGGACTGAAATTCAAATAAAATCTGAATTTGAACATTTTAACATATCATGGTAAGATTCAAGTGACTTACCGTGGTGCAACAGGAGGCTCAGTAGTGGCAGCGCTCATGGGAACATAGTTTTCATCCGCATCGTCGTCCTCAGAGCAAACGCTACCCAGAGGTACCATACCTTTATTCAACTGAGAGGAGGAGAGGGGCTTACATGTTGTAATAAATCACAGATAGTTATCGGATTTCATATTTGAACACTTTGATGCATTGGATTTTGTTTTCTTTTTGAAACTCACAAAGTAATTGTTGAAGCTCTCACTGAACTCAAACATGCTCGCTCTGTCGGACAGCGAGCGAGGGATGTAGAAAGAGTCGCAGCCTGGAAAACAGAGAATATCGAACATCACTGTGGAAATTCAGAATAAAGGACCAGCTTCCTTTACTCTGTACAAAAAACAAACAGACATTAAAAACAACATTCAGTCTTCAGGCATGAAAATGATGACATATTCTCTCATCTAGCAACCGATAAAGAAATCAGTTTCAGGGTACTTTTCTAAATAGTAAAACTAGTCCTTTAAATGTTGCATAATTCTGCATTAATCAGAATATTAAAGGAGCAATATGTAACTCTGACACCTAGTGTTAAAAATGGGTACTACGGTCCAAATTCAAAGGATCATTCAAAAGAAATAAAACATTTGCACACAAAGCATCTTTCCTGATCACGTGTGGATATAGAAACGTTTGTTGGAATGATAAGACTTAACCAGTCGTGTCTCTGTTGGGCTAAAACATCAAAGAATGTGTTGTTTTCATACGATGTTCATTTCTACTACAAGCAGAGATTTGTCTGAAGAAAGTCTTTGTATACTCGTGGGGCAAAGTTCTCGTCTTTGAATGAAACCTAAGCCGAGCAAATTGTGATGCAAACAGGCATGCAATGTCTGAGCTGTAAGAAATAATCCAACCAACCACCAACAATCCTGCCAGAACCACACAAAAAAACAAGCCGTTTTATAGCCACAGCGCTCTGTGATCTCTTCTGACGTACGAGGCTTTAAACTCTCTGCCGGATGATGCAGTTTGCTGTAGAGGTTTCACAGCCTTTGTGAATTCTACAATTCTACAATTCTCTTATCAGACTCTTTTATCCAAAGCGACGTACATCAGGGAGTAAGAACAACACAAGCAAGGATCTAGAAAAAAGGGAACAATGTCAGTAAGAGCAAACGATCAGCTTTGAGTCTGATTGGACACACAGGTGCTGACAGGAAGTGACCAGAGGCAAAGCACAACATTGAGGGCAGTTCTTGAGAGCTCTAATCAGTATAGAAACCATCTTATAAGTCATCGTTATCAAACAAAAACCATCGTCATTACCATCATCATCATCAATAATATGGAGACCATCATCATTAAGTTAGTAGGTATTCATGAAAGAGCTGGGTCTTTAGCTTTTTCTTAAAGGTGCATAAATATATATAAAAAATAAGAATAAATTAAATCTATTTATGACTTAGTTAATTAGTTTATTTTAAAAAAAATCAGATAAACAGGACAGTGGTTAGAGTCAGAAATCGGGCAAAGTGAAAGAATGGGAAATTACATGCTGGAAAGGACTTGAAACCATCCCGCCTGCTTTGAGGACTTCAGCCTCTGTACATGGGGTGTGTGAAGTGACCACACGGCCACCAGCACCCCCCTCGATTCCATTTAATTTGACATATTTAGAAGAAAGAAACATTAAGGCTACATAACAGGTTTGGCAAAAGGCTTGGTCAACTCTGTCAGACTGAAGTCAGGACAGACAGTTGTCTTCTTACCCATCTTTGTGTGTCCTGACGTGGCCACAGAGTCCACAATTCCATCCCTCCTCTCTTGCTCTGAGATAGACCTGGGGAGCGTTCCTACAGCCGAGCTCTCTCCCTGGGCAGCAATGCTCAGAGGCTTTGGCGGCCGTGGAGGAGGAGTCGGGGTGGAGGTGTGGAGCTCTACCTGGGTAAGGGAGTCCACACTGGGGGTAGAGGATGGGCGGCGAGAGAAGCGTGGTAGCGGGGTGGATGCTGGACGGGGGATCTGGTAACCACTGGTGCTGGAGTGTGAATGTGGATGCATGGTGGAGTTTAAATCATCACAGAGAGGTATAGCTACGGGTCGCAGGTGGATATCCAGGGAGTGTTTCCTGGGATGAGGTGACGGGTGACAGCGAAGTCTTTCGGCTCGTTTCTGGTCCAAACTCAGGCTGTTATCCATAGACTGGCTGAAAGGACCAGTCATAGTGGAGGCTTTCCAAGGAGCAGTCCTACAGCCGGAGGAGGACGAGGAAGAAGAAGAAGGGAGCGGGACTCCGTTAGGATGAAGGGAAGGAGAGGATGAAGAGGAAGAGGAGGACGATGTTGCAGAGGCTGGAGGGTAGAGGTTGTCGTTGTAGTCGGTTTCAAGAGAGGTGGAGGAACCTAAAGGAGGCCTGGAAGCAGATACCAAAATTAGTTAGTTAAATAAGAACAGATGAAAATGTAAACCTGATCTTTGATCACTTTGTAAAACCATGGACCTCCACGGACATGAACACAGATAAAAACTCACAAATAAAGTCCAAAGATCTTAGGTAGAAAAGTGGATGTGGATATGATCAACCGATCGACAACTGTATCTCACAGACTAACAACATGACCTTTCCTGTTGCCACTAGGGGTCGCTGTGACTGTCATAAACTATTTCCATATGGATGTGTTCAGGCCTGGACTGTTATCTTACATGTAAGGTTGGGCCAGATTGGAGCGTGTACAGAAGAGGTAAGCCACTTCCTATTTCATGCCGAAATTTTAAGGATTTGCCATGGACACACCCACCCTACACCCACACCTTCACCCACACTATTTGAGTGTTGGACTTGAGATTCATACCTTTTCTTTGGTCATGCTTCTTCTAGCTTTACACTAAATTTGGATTTTGGATTGGGTAAACACCCTCGGAGGAGTTAATCCAAGACCCTTGGAAATGGTCAAAATCACTATTTTTTTTTGGGAAAAAATTTCCTGTTGGAGTTAGTGTACGGCCACAGGAGGATTTTTGGAAGATCTCTGCATGCTACATCTACCTACCAAATGTCATGGATCTAGAACAAAGGGAAAGGACAGTTCACACCAAATGCAATACAAATCTTAATAATCTTTCCACAAAAATCTTTGTGACAAACATTTCTCTGAGGGTTTGTAAAGTGGAGCCTTGTAGAAACGTGTGGGTGTGATCCAGATGAGGATAAACCTCTAATCCTTAGTTCTTGGATTCAACACGTCTGATCCTGTAAATCTGACTGAGAGTCTTGTTGATTTAGCTTGAGATGGTTTTCTTTAGACTGGACCAAAGTCGAATTTGTATATTTATGCATATTTGATGTATTTTTTATCTGATGGAGGCCAATGATTCAAAATTCACAGGAGTAAAAAACTGTTTTTTTGATTTGTAATTCTACCTCATTTTATCAGTGTGTCATTTTTTCTATTCCTTGTTTAATCAGCTGTTCTAGTAGACACTGGAAGCAGAAATAAAATGCCCTTCAAACTGGCACTTCAGTGGCTCAGTTGGTAGAGTCCGTCATCTCTCAACCGGGAAATCAGGGGTTTGATCCCTTAAACATCCCATCATGAATTCCTGTTTCATGTAACATGCCGTGTGTGTGTATGTGCTTTTACCTGATATGACTCTGGCAGTGTGATAACCACATGTAGTCGTCTTCCGTATTGCCATCAGAATTGCGCACTCTCACCGGATTGTAGGGGGGTGGGACTGACCCTGTAGCCAGGGCGATACTTGTTGGACCACTGGTGGACGAAGTGGTAGAAACAGAGGTTCTGTCCGGAACTGTAGGAGAAAAAAAAAAAAACAAGCAACAGACTGAGAGGTCAAATAACAAAGATGACCTGTCTCCATGCAGGAGTGAAAGGGTTTCTGAGTCACGGACACACAATCCTCAGAACATTTTAGTCCATCTTTTATTTCTACATGTTCTCTCTCCTCCCACTCGTTTTCACACTGACTCAGCCTCGTCCCACACATCTATCCAGTTCAAATGCAAAACAAGAAAGGTGTGAGAAATAAACTTGATGCTCTCTCTCCCTTTGCCCTGCCTCACCGTCATCGGTCGGGTTGAAGCCGCAGAGCAGGCAGATGGAGGACACCCAGCGGTTCATGTCCTCTTCAGACTCAGCCACAAGGTACCAGGTCCTCTCCTCCGTCCTCAGGTCGAAAACAAAGCTGCTCTCCAGCTCCTTCTTCGTGAATGACAGGCCAGCATCCACCTGACGTGGAAGGGAAAAAGAGGCAGACAGAAATCGGCTGTTGGAGCATTTCTGAAACCTGAATACACAACCACAATAACGTTTTTGCACATGATACGGAGCAGCTTTTCAGCAGTCCTTCAAACATAGCGCAGGGACTTTTATCCCCCTGATTACCTGTTCACACAGGTTTAGGTTGATTGTCCTGATTGGTCGGCGGGACTGCTGGTTCTTGTAGTACTGCAGGACGTCTGGCTCCCCGCTGAGTCGACCGCTCCGCAACACGAACCAACGCCTCTTCCATGCCTAAAGAGAGCGAGAGAGACTTATCATCATATGATAATATATGCATAAAACAATCAGTATGAATATCTAAAAATCTTTTTAAAACAATGAACTAAATAAACAATCAAACAACAGCAAATTGAAAACTTTATATACCCTTTAAAACTCTGTAATTTCCTTTAAGAGCCCTCAGTCTTACTCTGTGTGTTTCTCTTCCATGTCACAAGTTTTACACTCCAGTGCACATGAATGTTAACTAAACACACACACAAACCCCACACACACAGAGTGAATTGCTCAACGCCTGACACTTCTCTCAGGTTTTTATGGGTAGGGTCCATCTCCCATGAGCCATCCACGGGACAGGATGGGATGACACCTCATATTTCTTACATGACTCACTATTACGTGACTCATTATGCTTATTCAAAGGTGTGAAGCAGAGCACCATGAATGATTTCAATAAAAAAAACAAAAAACAAAGGCAGGTGCACAAATGCACCAGAGGATTTGAGATTAAATCCAATAAAATTAGTATGAATTCAGTCTGCACGTGTCTGTAAGTGTGCGAACAAGTTTCCAAGAGTGCTAAAAAAACAAATCCATCCCATGTGATTCCCTGTTTCATTGTGTTTCTCAACAAAACCAACGTGACTCCAAAAGCATGCCTGTGTGTGTGTGTGTGTGTGTGTGTGTGTGTGTTTGATCAAAGTACACAGCAATTAAATACTGTCAAGAATGCCCCCACCCCCCCCCATCTCTATCCAAACACTGACCGGAAGAGGAAATAGCTGAACGGGAAATGCCCGTAAGAGATCACAATAGATGTGTTTTCAGTCCGTCCTCCCTTGCTGTGTGTTCGAGGTGGCAGCAACTTTTGCAAAGGTATTTTCTTGCACATCTTACTAAAAGCACAGAAAAGAAATGTGTAAATCCTTCACCAAGTTTGTGTGGGAGCTAGCTTCAAACTTGAGTAGCCGTGAAACTTCAATTAAAAGCACATCCCAATTAAAGGCCTTGTTCCTTTTACTAACCTGGTGTTGATGCACAAATAAAGGCAGCGCTCAATAAGAGGCCCCAAAGCATTTAGTGAGGACAATAGGACAATAACTAACTAAGCGGACACTCAACGAACTGCAGGAGGGCGCAGCAGTGTACTTTTTTGCTCAACAGTTTAAACCTACACTGGGCTAGTGCGATATCAAAAATCCCAAAGTGTTTGATGCGGTTTTTACAAAAGCCTTATTTATTTATTTTTACAATTTTTTCAGTAAGTTTAGAAAAAGTTTCACTTGGAAGATAGAATCATTAGCTAGTTACTTTACAGTGATCCCTCATAGTTAGCGAGTTATGTAATATCTGGCAGTGAGCCAAATTTGTTAGCTACATGCAGTAAAGCTTACTCAGCAAATGTCAGTTAAACCCAGGAGCTAGCCAGTTGAGTTATAACCACAGCACATGGAAGTTTGCTTGTTTAAATCAACTAGCTAGCTTAGTTAGGTTGATATCACCTGGAAGTGAAATAGTTGAGCTAGTATAAAAGTTACCCATTGCCCAGTTTGTAATAGTTGTAACCTACAGTTGGCTTATTCAGTTTGTAAGTTCATTAAGTTGTTTAGGAACTTAACCTGATGCATAATGTAACCGTTTTGAGCAACTGTAAACTACTTTGGGTCAACTCCAGTTGTTTTATATCATTAAAATGACTTGACTAACTTGACCTGTTCGATGATAGTTCAGTTAGGCTGTAAAAGTAAAAAGTCTTGGTGGGTGACTGCGGAGCTTCATTACGATGTAGCAGAATCTCAGTGTGGATGTCTTTTTGTCAATCCACACATTTTTATTTCAATTTTTAAACAATCTTCTACTGCATCTAAATAACAGAAACTCTTTATTTTTTCAGTTAATTTGCTGTTTTTCTACTCTTATCATAGAAGCCTACACTGAATGTTTAGAAGAAATTGATCTGTCATGTATTTATCTTTTACTTATTCTTGTTTGATTAGTGGATATTTTTTCATTTAACTCAACCTGCACAACATTCTTTTATCACTTCATTCTCATTCACATTAAGCTGCCTTAAATTAAGCAACTAACTAATATGTATTGCACCTTAAAACTTTCCCAAACCCCTTCTCCTCGAATTGTTTCTTATTTCACCTACTTTCACTTTGTTTCCTTCTTTGACCTCTGACCTTAACAGGAAGTGGCCACAATGGGTCTAAAATAATACTTACTACATCCTGTCCTGTACCGAAATTAACACCAGAAATGAACAATAAACCTCCCACTACTCAGTTCCTCATTTACAACATTATTCCTCTTCTTAACCAGCACACTCAGTTCTCAGAAATGCAGACATGTATCCTTGAAGCACTTTCAGATTGATGGCAGAGACTCTAAACGCTGACAAGTCTACAATTTAGCTGTATCTTTTTACTTACTATGAACTCCTCAAGATGAAACTGATCAAAACATGCATCAATGTTTTCAGTTGTATTCAAGACCAGACTAACCGAGACCAAGACATGCCTGAGACCAGAGTGCTCCGAGACCGAGACAAGTCCAAGACATTTAGGGATCGCGTCCGAGTCAAGTCCAGGACCATAAATATCACTGAAAAATCATCCACTTGTGTGCAGAAGGCGTGTCACTCCCTTTTACCGTAACACCGGGAAGTTATTTGTTCTTTCAGAAAGAAGAGTGTTCCTTCTAATCTAAGCCGTTCAGTGGTGGTGTTGACTTCAAATCCGGAGTCTGAGACCAAGCTTGAAACCAAGACAAGACCCAGTAAAAAATGCTTTTGATTCCAAGACGAGACAAGAGACCTTCAAAAGGTGCCCTGGAGACCAAGACTGATTTTGAGTACTACAATACTACCTTGTGGAAATTCTAACAGACGTTCCATTGGAAGATGGTGGTTAATCACAACATTGATTTCTTTGTGGAGTTATGACCCTCCTTCTGGTCTCATATGTTAACTGTGCAATCAGCAAATTAGCTGCTGAGATGGGGGAACATGGCAGCATTGATACAGTCTCTCGTACCTATACCATGCAGCTTTTGTTACACTGTGATTAACCTTTGTTTTGTGTGATGTTTGTTTATTGCACTCAGGGAGTACCCTGTGCATTACTCTCCTTGGTACTGTTCCAGTCATGGGTGTGTAAGTGTGTTTCTAAATCTTCTGGGACGCCCCCCTCCTACAACTGGGCCCAGCTGAGAGTGATTAGATTATTACATAACACACACTCGGCTTTCCACAGAGCAGGGAGTGTATGATGAGGTACACTCCGATACTTTAACACGAGGCCTGAGCGTAGACTCGGTCTGCTGCAGACATATGGTGCCCCGTGTGAGTGTGTGTTGACAGTAGACACACAGCTGGGAAGACGGTGTGTGTGTGTGTGTACACAGTAGGTTGTATATACCATCATGGCTGAATGTATACACAGCCTTAACAATGGGCTCTGTTTTTAAACCCTGTTATTTATCTTATCCTCTCATCTCTCCATTCTGTTGAATCCTTTTTCTTTCTCAACCTTTGAGCCCAGCTCTTCTTTTTTGTTGTTGCGCTCCAACCTGCTCAGGAGGCCCTCTCTCGACTTCATTTGTAACTGGGGAAAAAACCTAAAAATAATAATGCAAATTGTCTTTGCAGTTTGTTGGATCCTCTGAAGTCTGCCTAATGGGGGTTGTTGGCTATAAGTAACTTTTATTTACCTGATTTAAAGATTTTTTTTTGCCCTAAAGTCAGGCAGAAAACCACAACAGCTCATCTCCTATTTGACTCCTCTTTTGCCCTTGGCTTTCCACAAACACATACAGCCGACACACACACTGAAAACATATACAGGAAAGCGAAAAGGGAGCCGGAAGAATGACTTAATTAACTCATGAAATAGAGTCGCAGAGGTATATTAAAAAAAACAGAGCCAAGTTTTCTTTGTAAAGGAAAACAGATTAGGAGAAAGTATGGAGAGGAGAGATGAGTTTAGCCCAACTCACTGCCAAGGCATGCCAGATATGCAGTGTGTGTGTGTGTGTGTGTGTGTGTGTGTGTGTGTGTGTGTGTGTGTGTGTGTGTGTGTGTGTGCTAACTGGAAAGCATGCTGTGCTGTTATTTGAGAAACAGCCTTGTGCTCGTTTGAATTTCTACTTTGGTGTAAGACAAGTTTTAATACAATTGCTTGTTTTCCTTGTATATTCAGGATTGGAACCTCAGGCTATTCAGGTGTCTCACACAAATAAGGTAGATTAGGAGACACCTGTCATGTGCTGAATGTTTTATTACTTTATGATCATGACTCTGCAACAGACAATGACTGTGTGTAAACAGTGACGATACCAAAAGCTAATGTGTGGGCTTAATTCAGACATGTTTGTGCCCTGTAGGTGTATGCCAACATCTAGACAACAGCCGCTGGTGATGTGTGCTCGAGCCAGGCACAGGCACCATGAACGTCATAATACTCAGGCAACGTGCAAGAACTTTGGAATTTGATTTAGCTTTCAGGTCTCAACAAATTATAAAGCTCAAAATGGAAAATAAAGTACTCACATAACGCCGTAGTTTCTTCTCTGGTGGAGATTTTCGCAGCCAGCCGTCACACACCACTTCATCTGCTCCGCTCATCTTGAAAGCCGACAAAACAGGTTCCAACACAACTAGTGGTAAATTATCTGTTTTCCCAATCTGTTAATCGGGAATCCAGTCTGGTGTCAATGCTGACAGAAGTTAGTCTGTTAGGTTTCCCAGCTGTCAATAAGACAATTTGTTCAGTTAATACTTTGGGAAGCAAATCTGTTGTGGATCTGTCACCAATGCTTCCAAACCTCCAAACAATCCAATAATCTTTAAATCAAACCAGCATATCGACCCAACTTCCAATCAATAAATTAAGATTTAAAGTCTTTGAAAAAGGCTTCCGGTCAGTCGAACCTTAAGAGGAACCGATTCTATTATGAATTAACCCAGCTCTGTTGGTTGTTCATCTACGTCTCCAGTAGTTTCCTGCAGACACTCTGTCCACGACTGAGTCACACCTCCTTCTGAGAGGGTATCTACTTCCCAGCAGACTCCCTCTTCCCACATTCCCTCCCACTTTCTCCCTCTGACCGTGCAAATACAATGCCTCGGCTTGGACATTCCTTTACTCCTCTCCTCCCACTTTTCCGTCCTCCCTCCTCTCCTCACTCCTCCCCCTTCTTGTGCTCTTGCTCAGTAAAACAGGAAACCCCCCCCCCCCTGTTGATATGTGTGTACGCCAGCGTGAGAAAGAGAGTTTTCACATTCTCAGAAAATATTTGATGTTTCCTTCAAAAATTAAAAAAACACCTCTTGATGTCATCTCGCTGGAGACATTTATTAAGAATTGATGGTGAAATTACTATATTGATATTCGCACAATGTACTTCAAAAATAATTGATTGAAGGTGAAATAGTGTCTGTGGTAATTACCCAACAGCCAAAGTTATATGCCAAATATACGTAAAAAGCAAAAAAATGCACTTTAAGTGATACAGTGCTTAATGGTCTTTAAGCACTATTTTGGTCATTTGCCGGTTTTCAAGAACCCGTCAAGCTCAAGGATCCATAGCTCTGTTAGTCTTGTGTCACTCTGCACATCATTTGTTACCTGTTCTTTAATTTTGATGTTTCTTGTCTGTTTCTTTCAAATGCTTTGTTGTCATCTCCACTGTTCACTTTGGATCAACTGTGCTATCTAAATAAAGTCGAGTTGAGTTTTAGCAGGATCAAAGTTTTTTATTTTCCATTAAAAAAATCTCTATTTTTCCAACCATGACACCCTTATGTCATCTCTGGGAACTCTATCTCAGCTTTTGGAACATTACTTAGAGCAATATCATTGGTACAAGGCGGTTTTGCTCAAAAATCAATCTTTACTTCCTTAAATTGGATTTCCTATCATAACTGTACCAATGGATGAATTATGATGAATTCTGAAACCCAAATTGGAGGCATTAATATTAACCTTCTTCCAGGAAAGGTATCTCCCACTCAAAACCACAAAATGAGAGCTGCTCATTTAGCTGCATTCATCTACAGATTTGTGATAAAGGCTGACATCTAGTGGCCTTTTTGTAGTACTTCCAGTTTTCAAAAGCAGCTGGCTTTATTCCCATGAGTAAAAAAAAAATGAAACAATGTTTTGATCAAATCCTAAGACATGGAGGGTAAAGTGTAAAAAACTTAAATAAACACCAGACACAATATGCGATTTTTAGCATCAAAACTTAATATCAAGATGCTTTCATAAAGACTTACTTATGATATGAATGGCTAAACTCTGTTATTTTAAAGACAGCTTTCCTAAAAAAAAAAGCAAGAAAACAATACCTGAATAATTCTTATTATTAATCAGCATGCTAACATTTGAATAAATAATACATTTCAAGCTGGCTAGATCACTTATTTGATTTGAATACATATCAGTCAGTGCTTACATCAAAGTATATTTACATGATATAATGTTTGGTCCCTCTGGAAAAGTATAGTGTGGGAAAAGAATTTGCCTACAGAAATTGACTGTAAAGTTTGGATGTCCCGAGCAGAGACCCAAACGCACACTGATGTTCTGATATTCTGTGTTCGGCTCTGAGGCGACTCTCACTTCTGAACACAGTCGAAGGAAGGTTTTAAATACGACTAATAAGGTGAGCATTCTTTTACGATAACCTGACTCATTTTCAGTTTTTCACGTTTAAAGCGATGAGATGAGATGACTAATTTTTAGAGATACACCGATTGCAATTTCTTCTTCCTGATTCCAATTTCCTAATTTTACCTGGTCTGACATAGCGCTGGGTGATGTATCGGGTTTTGACATATTTTCATACAAGATGTAGGGTAAGATGATTCTGTAGCTTCTATAGAGCTGTCAGTTCAACTACTGTCTGTCCCTCTTCACCCTCTCCGAGCCAAACTTAAAATAACAAATGAATAACAAAACACACTGTGTTTATTTTGTTTTGTTAGAATCGTTTTTAAATCGATTTTGTTGTATTTAAGGAAAGTTTTCATGTTATATGAGTGGGGAATGACATGCAGGAAAGGAGCCGCAGCCTCTGTACCTAGGCCATCTGCGTCCAAAACTTTTAAATAATGCCCTCATACACCGAGGTTTTACTAACCTGTTAAGTAAATTCTAATTGTAATCTCGATGGCATTGCTAAAAAAAAAAGGTAAAATTGTAAATTTTTTAAAAATTTTTTAAGGGGAACCTCCCTTGGAGAATAAGTAAAGGTTGAAAATGAATTCAAGTGAAGGCTTTAATAATTCTGCCATGTTTGTTGCATTATATCAAAATGTTCACGTTTGTTTGTTTTTACCCTCTCATATTTTCTCTCCTTCCTCTTGCCCATAGATATGTCGGTCAACTCCACCTCGTTGAATAATGCCTCTCATCCACTTTCCGCCTTTAACTTCGCACTCGAATGCTACAACACCAAGACGGGCACCGTCACCCTCACCACCTTCACCATTACCAGCTACTTCCTTGTCGTCCCTCTCTGCGTCTTCGTCCTCTACCTCGGACACCACGATCGAAACTACAAGGCTCAAAGACGAGCCGCTCGGACTTTCTTACCCAACACATGGTCGCCGTGGAGCTTCTAAGTGTCATCGGTACTACGATGGTGTGTTGTGCCGACCTCCCGCATATGATGATAATCGGTCTATACCTTTTTAGCCTTAACATGTCAGGCCAGATGTTCTTTCACATCCTGACTTGCTTGGAGCACTACTTGGCTGTTGTTCAGCCCATAACCTACCTAAGCCTTAGCAAGGCCAAGGCGACAAGATCCAGAAATATCACCGTTTGCTGCGTCTGGCTGCTTAACTTTGTGCTGGCTTGTGTTTTGGTAGTGGCAGGGCAGGTGGCCATTTCCATCGTCTCCTTTTGTATCACAACCTTGTTCTTAATTATAATCTCTTTCTGCAGCCTTTCTGTTCTCTGCGTTCTTACTCGTTCAGGGCCAGGGGCCGGGGGCAGAGACAGACAGCGAGTGGACCCGTCAAAAATGAGGGCTTTTTCCACCATCACGGCCATACTGGGAGTGCTGCTGATCAGATTTGGGGGGGAATATGTTTTCCACTGTTCTGTTTTTCTCTATGAAGAGTGGGGAGAGAGGAGTGTGTGGTGTGTGGTTGTCGGCACTCTGGTTTTATCTGCCCAGCAGTCTGGTGTTACCTCTGCTCTTTCTACAGAGAGCAGGAAAACTACCTGCAGCCACATGTCCGATGTGTCCTTAGGCAAGACACTTAACCCCAAGTTGCTCCTCTGCTTTGTCTGCAGTGTATGAATGGATGAGTTAATACTGATGGACTCTTTACACAGCAGCCTCTACCATCAGTGTCTGAATGTGTAGGTGTGACCTGCGGTGTAAAAGAGCTTTGAGTAGTCAGAAGACTAGAAAAACACTAAACGAGCTCAAGTCCATTTACCATAACTCGACCAAAAGTGATATGATCCTTTTTTGGTAACAAATCAAGTAAGACTTTAAAGATGAAGTCACGATCTTAATACTTAAATCTGAAGTGTATGTAGTTATTTGTCAGACAGTCTAACGACCAAACCAAACAATCTTTTAATCTTATTTGGGTTGTTGGATTGTAACTTGGAAAACTTTTTTTTTTTTAAGTTATCTTTTATTGGAAAGTTGTATTTTAATTTTCTGGTATTTTCTATATTTTTTGCTTTGCTGTTGATGTGCTTCAGTGTTTATATTTAATTTTTGTCCTCTGCCCTGTGTTCTCTGTAAAGCATTTTGCCTTTGAGTAAATCCATTATAACTAATCGGTCATGCCTATTGTCCTACCATGCTTACATTTGAATAAGAAACTACAAAACAGCTTTGACTTCAGCATCTTTCTTCATTTGAATACACACCACGTCATGCACAGAGGAAATGAATGGACAGATAAAATGAACAACATTTGCACACACATAAAGTTGTCTGAATGAAACAGTGAATTTGTGTATCATGCAGATGCTTGTATTTGTTACTTAGTTTTTCCCCCTGGTTCGTCACACATAAAGGAGAATGCAAAGAGACAATTTGCCTTCAGAAATGAACCGTACAAAATGTAGAAACACAAGCCCATGTTTTAGTACGCTATGTGTTTGGATCAGTTGTCAGTTGTGAGCCAACTCTGAATCTGAAGAAACACAACTGGAAAAAGGTAAGGAGTGAATTCTTATAACCTTTTTTAAAAAAAAAAACAATATTTCCTCTTAAAAGTTGTCTGAGTCAGATACACCGGTGTTCTCAACTGGTTGAACGTCAGGACCCACCAACGACTCCTTTGTGAATAATCGCAACCCACATTTCTTAATTTTCAATCAATCTGATTTATTTTAAGAAAAACTGTGCAGTTTGGACCTCAGATGGTACAAAGCGCGATTGAATTAAACTAAATTTGTTAAAAAAAAAATAAAGCCTTTTCTTCCAGGCACACATTGAAAACGGGTCCCGACCCACCAGTTGAGAACCACTGCCTTAGAACAATAATGTTATCACGTTATACTGCAGTGTTTGATTATCTAAACTAACAGCATAGCTACCATCCTTAGAAGTTCTAACCTACATGTACATCAATCATTAGCACGACAGACAAACAGTTTTTCCCAGTCCGTTTTACACGTGTAAAGAAAGCTTCATATTCAGTAGTTCCTGTATTTGAAAAACATTATGGATTTGCTTGCCTCAAAAACTCGGAGTGAAGTTATCCGATGTTATAATTAAGGTTGTTAAAATACCATCCAATCATGTGGGGAACTTTATTTGTCTGCCAGTCTGAGACCATAAAGTGATCAAATATGATTATGGACATATTTCTGGTTTTCATGATTTCATGGCAGATTTTTTCATGTTTCCAAATAATTGATGTGTGAAAATTTACCTGAGGGCCCCATTGATGGATGATGAGGGCTACATTTGGCCCCCAGGCCGTCAGTTGCCCAACCCTGTTTTAGAAGCACTATTTAAGTATAATCCAATTTGGAACCGGTTCAGTCTTGGTTTGGCACCACCTTGTGGCCTTAAAGATGATTACACACGACTGAGTGCTGTGTGCAACAAATTATTTG